TCCTGTCTCCTCCCGCTTCCTCATCCTCTTGTGTCCACGAGGGGGGTCAGGACTTTGACGTCGTCGAAGGGGGAGGGAGAGGGAGAAGCTCCCACTCCAGAAAGCACAGCCCGGAATCGCGTTTTAAACCTTATCTTAACATCTATAAATCCGTACGTGCTTCGCCCCCTACCGCCGGCCCCCGTTCTCGGAGAATGGGCCATGGAAGAGCGAAGTCATGAGGCTTTGGCTTCACCGTGAAGCAGCGTCTGAACTTCATGCGAAGACGATGGGTAATTGGCAGGACGAATGGAGATTGCGAGCCTGTTGTTGTACTCGCTGTGATCTGATTTTCAGACATGTAGCAAATCCTATAAGTTTTTGGACCCTGACCCCGCCGATCTGTGTGAGGGATGCCACCGATTTTTAAAGCATGTTGCAAATCCTGTGTGTTGTTGGACCCTGACCCTGTCGATCCGCAAGAGGGGTGCCACCGAATTTCAGAAATGTTGAGAATCCCCTGGGTTTTCGGACCCTGACCCCGCCGATCTGCGTGAGGGGTGCAATCGAATTTCAAAAATGTTGCAAATCCCATATGTTTTTGGACCCTGACCCCGCCGATCTGCGTGCGGGGTGCTAGCAAATTTCAACCATGTAGCAAATCTCATGTGTTTTTGAACCCTGACCCCGCCGATCTGCATAAGGGATGGTAGCGAATTTCAAAACTGTAGCAAATCTCATATGTGTTTGCACCCTGACCCCGCCGATCTGCGTGAGGGGTGCCACCGAATGGCAGACATGTGGCAAATCTCATGTGTTTTTGGACCCTGACCCCGCCGATCTGCATGAGGGGTGCCAGCTAATTTTAGAAATGTGGCAAATCTCATGTGTTTTTGGACCCTGACCCCGCAGATCCGTGTGAGGGCGTGCCAACGAATTTCAGAAATGTAACAAATCCCTTGTGTCGTTAGACCCTGACCCCGCCGATCTGCGTGAGGGGTGTCAATGTTTACCCACCCCAGCAATTCAGACAACACGCTCAGGGCGTGCTAAACCTGCCCGTTTGGGCCTACCCCTCCTCGCGCGGTCCATCAACAAGGAACAGTAAGCAGCAAGAAGCAAAATTGTAACAGTGGAAACTGGAAGCTGCAACTGGTACAGGAAACTGCGAACCTTGGGCCTACAGCCTGGTGGCCCCACAAGGGGGCCGGCGGATATATACACACGGAAGTTGTGTGGGTATTGTTGTCTCTGCGGCAAAACACATGATGATGTTGATGCTGATGCTGATGATGATGATGATGTTGATGATGATGATGGTGGTGGTGGTGATGGTGATGGTGATGGTGATGGTGATGATGATGATGATGAAGATGATGATGATGATGATGATGATGATGGTGATGATGATGATGATGATGGTGATGATGATGAAACGTATGATGATGAGGATTACGCCGATGGTGATGATGCTGATGAATATGGTGATAATGATATTAATCATAGTATAATGATGATAAAAAACATGATGATGGTGTTAATAATGATAATGTTAATGCTAATACGACTGCTAATCATCATAATAAGACTAATAATAATGTTGATGGTGACATTGTGGATGGTGTTCATGATGATGACGGTGATGGGATTGATGTTGGTTATGCTGGTGATGGTGATACTGATGCTTGCAATGGTGATGATGGTTGTGGTCGTGACGATGCTTGTGATGGCGGTGATGATGATATTGCTGACGATGGCAATTACGGTGACGATGCTGATGATGAGGAGGAGGAAGAAGAGAAGGATGATTATGACGATGAGGAGGATGATGAGTGACGACGACGGCGAGTAGGACGAGGAGGAGGAGGAAGAGGAGGAAGAGGAGGTGGAGGAGGAGGAGGAAAAGGAGGAGGAGGCGGAGGAATGGCAGGAGCAGGCGCAGCGGGAGGACGAGGGGCAGGGAGGAGCAGCCGCGGCAGAATCAGGCGCACCGGGAGGAGCAGAAGGAGCAGGAGGGCGATAACAGGGAGCAGGAGGAACGACCGGGAGGGGCAGACGGGAGGACGCTCTAGGGGGGAGGAGGAGGAGGAGGAGGAGGAGGAGGAGGAGGAGGAGGAGGAGGAGGAGGAGGAGGAGGAGGAGGAGGAGGAGGAAGAGGGGGGAGGAGGAGGAGGATGAGAGGAGGAGCAGGAGGAGAAGGCTGAGGGAAGAGTATGAGGAGGAGGAGGAGGAGGAGGACGAGGAGGAGGAGGAGGACGAGAAGAGGAAACGACGAGGAGGAGCAGAAAGAGGAGGAGGAGGAGGAGGACGAGTAGGAGGAGGGAAGAGTAGGAGGAGGTGGAGGGGGGAGGAGGAGGCGGAGAAGGAGGAGGAGGAGGAGAAGAGGAGGAGAAGAGGAGAAGCAGGAGGAGGAGGAGGAGGAGGAGGGGGAGGAGGAGGGGGGGGAGGAGGAGGGGGCTCACGAAGGAGGAGCATCTAGCATGGAGCAGGAAGCAGGAGAGGCAGAAGCCAGAAGCCAGGAGCCAGGAGCAGGAGGAGCAGGAGGACGAGGACCCAGAGCCAGAGGGACGAACGGGAGCGGAGGCGGGAGGCCGATCTACGGTTGGAATGTTTGAATCGCGTGTTGCTCCATTGCTTCTGGCCTACCGCGCTCCAGCGCGACACGCTATCCACTTCCTAGCCCCCAGGCTTCGACGTCCCAAGCTTTCGGAGCCTCCCGCCCCCCGCCCTGCGGGGCGGAGCGACAAGCTATCCGTTTGCATGGCGCGGTGTGTTAGGGGCGTTGGGCCCCAGAGCTCTGGACCCCTTCCCCAGGGGCAGACGGGAGGCCGACCTAGGGAGGAGGAGGAGGAGGACCAATGTAAACCCAAGAGCCATCAACGATGTCGGAATAAACCCTCCCTCCAAGCTCCCTTTTTCATAGGCCCCTACAACGCGGTTCATTTGCACTACGGGAGATCGTTGGAAGACGACCGTCTGAAGACCCTGAAGCATGCCAAAACATTTTTCTCGGGATCCAACGCCACGGATCAACCTAACTGTTGCGTCTTGGCTATCCTGAACCGTGCCAGAACGCCATCCCTGGGACTTCAACACCGCGGATCAACGTAACTGTTGCACCCTCAAAATCCTGAGCCCTTCCAAAGCACCATTTCTGGTACGCTGATCATGGGAACCCGTGAACCAGGGAACCCGGGAACCCGAAATAAAAACGAATATGCGCGGCGTTGAGGCGAGAGCCACATCTTGAAGAGGAACCGCCTTCAGTACGTGAAATTCTTGCAGTTTGTTTGATGTGCGCGAGCCACCGCGGCGCTCAGGCGAGAGCCACAGATTGAAAACCACCCGCCCTCCGCGTGTAAAACGGTTGCCAATGTTTAAACTTCAGGGTCATAAATGGTGAGGATGTCTCAGGCGAAACGCCCGGCCCGCCCTAAGGACAAGCCTCGGGGTGCGACAGGGAGAAGCTAGTTGCAAGGAAAACGAATGAGGGAGGAGGAGGAGGAGGAGGAGGAGGAGGAGGAGCAGGAGCAGGAGGAGGAGGAGGAGGAGGAGGAGGAGGAGGAGGAGGAGGAGGAGGAGGAGGAGGAGGAGGAGGAGGAAGGGGAGGAGGACCCCCTCCACAGGGCCGACGTCTCACCCAGAGTGGCTTTGGCTAAAAACCATGGACCCCCTCGGGTGTTGTTCGGGCCGCCAGACGTCTGTCAAAGATAGGGAGAAAAAACACCCGGACCAGACAACTGGCGTTTACTAAACGGCCCTGGGCGTTTATTAAACAGCCCTGCCCTGTTCGATTCCTTCAGTGGGGGCGTTTAGTAAGCGGCTTCGCGTGTCGGGATGGTTATTATGGGGGTGGATTCGTTGCCCTCTAAAAGAAGAGAAGTTCCCCGAGCTCCCTCGATTTTTGAGTTGCGAGAAATCGGTGGTGCATCTGTGGTCGCTCCATTCCCGGGGTCTGTCCTGGCCAGTTTCCCGAGTTGTGTCCCGTCGTGGAGACGAGAACCCCCAGAAACGCCCAAAAGTTTTGGAGACGACGTCGTCGTGGGATGAGGAAGAGGAGCTCCCAGACATACGACGTCGTGTCTGTTTGAAAATATGCACCCCCAGAGGTTTCCTGGGCACCGGCTTTTCATCCCGAGTCGTGTTCGGATTGTCCCGAGTCCCGGTAAGGGTCCCAAGCGGTTAAAAAGGTCAACAGAAACTAATGCCGCCTTGATGTTGTTCACGACGTGAGCTCGCAAGCTGTCCCAGGGCTCGGTGAGGGCTTCCAGGGGCAGACGATTTGCAGAAACAGGCCGTCGCGTTTTGTTTGTTCATCGCGAGGGGATCACACGAGCAGCAGCAGCAGCAGCAGCAGCACGGACTGGCGCAGCGAGAGCGCGGAGGGCAGCGGCATGAGTTTCGGCAGGAGGGCGGCCCTCCTCCCCCTCTGACTTGAAGTGGCACGTGCGGTCGGACACGTTTGCTTGGCGTGACGCGCCGCCGGTTCCGGATAAGCTAAATAATTTGCGTTTAATGAATATTGAGTTGAATAAGCAAAAAATCAGAAACAAAATAAACAAAGGCATGTATTTAGTCATTTAAATGGTATGTTCATAAGAATGTGATGAAAGGTTGCCAACAGTGTGCTAATTTGTAGTGGAATTGCTCAAGTGGCCCACCACGCCTCGGCGCGACGCGCCAACCACTTCTCTGTTCTCAGGCGTCCACGTCCCGTGCGTTCCCCGAGCCTCCCGCCCCCGCGGAGCGGAGCGACACGCCGTCCGCCTTGCGAGGCATATGCCGTGTCGCTGGAGCCTCCTCCTCCTCCTCCTCCTCCTCCTCCCTTGGCCTCGTCCTCGTTCCTCTTCCTCCTCCTCCTCCTCCTCCTCCTCCTCCTCCTCCTCCTCTCCGGGTGCAAGAAGCGGCCAGCGCTGAGACAAGCTTCGCTAATGAGGCTCTCCAGTCACCTCGGGCCGCAGACGGCAGCAGCGCGAGCGATCCGTGCGCGGACGAGTTCCCTTCCCCCTCCCTCCGGCGAGGAGGGCCTCTCCGCCCTGGAGCGCGCCCAGGCCGAGATCGCGTCGCTGCGCCAGCAGCTTAAGGATCAGGCGCTCAGGGATCAGGAGATCCTGCTCGTCCTCCTCCTCCTCCTCCTCCGCATCCTCCTCCGCATCCTCCTTCGCATCCTCCTGCTCGGACGGCCAGCGCCGCGAACAGACCCGATGTGGGCTGGCCTGTCGCCGTTCGGACGCCTTTCGAATGCTCCTGCATCCGGACCGAGGTATGAGATCGAGGTGAGTTCTGGGCGGGTGCCCTGCTGTTCTTCGTGCTTGTGGGATGTGGGATGTTTTTGTGCACCCTGGGGAGGGCACCCTTGGGAAGTTCTGTCTGTTTGGGCTTGCGGAGTGTCCCATGCTCCTGAAGGATATTCTTCTGTCGCAGGTCCGACTGTGCGCGTGAGAGTGGCCTTTCGCCGGAGTGACCTTTAGTGCGGGCTCACAGGAGATATCCGAGCACTGGCTGGCGCGCTTGAATCGAAGAAGAAATTACGGCATAAACGGAAACTTTTGGCGCCCAGCGCGGATGTCTTGGATCCGCGCTGGGCCCCCCCCCGCGGCGCCTCCGGCGCCGCCCTTGGCGCGCTCCGCGCGCCAGGCAAGGGGTGCCCAGCGCCGATCCAAGACATCCGCGCGGAGCGCCAAAAGTTTATGTTTTATGTAGTTGTGCCTTTTTTCTAGAAGGGTCTTGGGGGCCCACGCACCGAAAAAGTCGAGGCTCGACGTCGACGCCGTCGTCCCGCCTCTCCTCTTCCATCCTCCTTCTCCCTCGTCTTCCCCTCTGCTTCCTCCCTGCTCCCCCTCCTCCCCATCCTGCTCGCTCTCCTCTTCGTCCCTCCTCCCTCCTCGCCCTCCCCCTCCTCATATGTCCCGCGGCGGGCCTCAGTGCGGGTTCAGCCCGCAGTGCCTTGGCTTTGATCGGGGGGTCGGGGCTAACCGCAGATTGCAATCGAGTGGTGCAGGGGTGACTCTGATTCTCCAGCTGCGAGGCAGTCGTAGAATAGATGCATGTTTGGCGACAGATGAGGCCCCTTCTGAGGTTACTTGTCCTCATTTGTCCTTCGCCCTCATCCTATCCTCCTTCAGTCCCCTCCTTCCCTCTGTACACGCTCGGACCAGGCTGATGTCAAGAAACTTCCGGGAAGCTGGCCCAGATGGCTTACGTGGTAGTGTTCGTCATTGCGATTCCGGTTGTATTTTCCGAGGCGGGAATTTATACATGACCACCGCCTGCAGGATCAATGTTCGGGGACCTCGGCAAGCGGTGGATATGGACATAATCGGGCCCCCAGGGGCCAACATATACCTATCCATGTCCACCGCCCGCTGGGGCACCAGGAGGTCGGTTCCCACGCGGTGGATATGGATAACTCCCCGCCTCGCAGTCTTCGCCGACGCCAGCTGCTCCTTGTTCGGCGCTCCCGATGGTAGCACGACGACTGTCCCCGGGGCTGCCGGGCTGCCTTGGGAGCTTGCCCCCGCCGGCCGGGGGCCCCCACGGCAGCGCCCGGGGGGTGCGGAGGTGCGGGGTGGAGGCGCGGGGGCGTGCCGGGAGGGAGAGATCGGCACAAGCACGAACTTACGCTGATGTCGAGGAGAATGCCCATCGGTCGTTGAAAATAAGTATTCCTTGACTCCCAGAACCCAATCTACTTCAAGCGCCTCCTTACTTCAAGAATCGATCTGGCTTGACTTCCCAGGGCGCGTTCCCCAACTCGCCAAGTGCCGAATTCCCCGCAAACGTCCGACAAACACTTCTGTGCCTCGGTGTGATGGATCGTACAATCCTCCCGGCGGATCCAGGCCATTTGCGAGTAATTAGATTGCGAGTAGTGGAACGCGCTTGACCATAAATGCTGTTTGATATTATTTGGGCGGGCCCAACCCGAATCTATTTTATCCGCTTTCCTACCTCATGTGTCTACTTACTTTTTCCGACCGGCGTGTTTGGGAAGATCTTCGAAGAAGATAAAGGATATAAACATGAATTGTGGGAGGTCCGTGCGGATTTCTTGGATCGGCGCCGCGGGCCCCCCTGGCGGCGCCCCCGGCGCGCGGAGCGCGCCAGGGAGCGGGGTCCAGCGGGGATCCGAGAAATCCGCGCGGACTTCGAAAGTTTATGTTTATGTTTTTTGTTCCCCCACATCCTGAGTGGGGTTCTTGTTTTCCAAGAACATCCTCTCCTTCTCCCTCCCGCCTCCCGCCTCCCACGTGCCCCTCCCACTCCTCCAGGGAGGCCCCGCCTGAGCAAGAAGGGTATCGGAAAACCATACTATTTACACGGTTTCGTGCCCCTCCCACCCCTCCAGGGAGGCCCCGCCTGAGCGAGGAGGGTATCGGAAAACCATACTATTTTCACGGTTTCGTGCCCCTCCCACTCCTCCAGGGAGGCCCCGCCTGAGCGAGGAAGGCATCGGAAACCCATACTCTTCACATGTTTTCATGCCCCTCCCACCCCTCCAGGGAGGCCCCGCCTGAGCGA